GTTCCACACGGGCATGAGAAAGTGAAATGCTCTCAGTTGCCAACTTTAGGTTAATTGATGTCCTTACACACACATACACACGAACATACATGTATACATGAATGTATAGATATGGTAGAAAAAAAACACAATGCACAAACTATACATTGAAATATATGAGACAATTTCGGAATCCTACAAGAATTAAAGATCTGAAGATGGATTCCAAGAGACTTGTTTCATATATTTCAATGAATCTAGTATGTGCATTGTGGGCTTTTCTACCATTGTATCAACACGGTAGTTTTTCCATATATGTGTATGTACATGCATAAATATGCAGTCACACACACCACAATGTGCAGACACGATCAACCTCTCCTCCTCTCCCCCCTCCCTCCACCTACCCCCCCCCCTCATGCGTTATGTATTTACCGGTCCCCCGCAGAGACCTGTTCAAGTTATCAGGAAGGCCGGAGGTCTCAGGGAAGCACTGCATTGCCTCTTAAGTGGTGATTCTCTGTAATGAACGATTCACTTTAAGAGCAACAACGGAAGGGGGGGGGGAGAGATCAAGGGGGCTCCTTCGGGTGAGCTAATGCCACAGGGGAAGGGAAGGTGGGGGGGGGGGGAGAGGAAATGGGTTTGTGAGGCGTTGCTGACTCTGTCGTCGCGAGCTTCGTCACTTTTTTTCAAGGTCAATCCCGGCGTTACACCTGATCATCCGACGCAGACGCTCCTTCGATCTCTCATCTCATTAACCCCGAGCATCCTCTCAGACACAGATGGAGTCCTCCTCAGCCTCCTTTCACCTGCGCCTCACAAAGAAAACTCATTACGACCCCACCTGCGGCGCCTCGCCTCCTCGCCTCCTCGCCTCCTCGCGAATACACAGACCTTTCGGCCGATCGCGCGGGATCTGTTTCGGATTGGGGGCTGGCGGGGGTCGCCGGGTGGGGGAGGTAGGGGGATGTGTGTGTGTATATATGTAAATGTATGTATATATATGTATCTTCTCTCTCTCCTCTCTCTCTTCTCTCTCCTCTCTCTCTCTCTCTCTCTCTCTCTCTCTCTCTCTCTCTCTTCTCTCTCTCTCTCTCTCTTATATATATATATATATATATATTATATATATATATATATAATATATTATATATATATATATATATATCAGTTTAGCTATCTATCTGTCTATATATATAAATATATATGCATATACATATACATACGCTCACACAAACGCACATCGTTTTACTGTACTTATGTAAATATTTTTTCGTGTTTGTGTTTGTAATGTATATAGGCTGCATAAAAGATAAAAAAAGACACACGCGCATGCACATCCATACAAACCCACACACGATATCTACTAAACACATGAGCCCTTTTTTATCTCCTTTCTTTACTCCTGTCCTGTAATTTGTCTGATTATCGTCTAACTCTTCCATCCCTGTTCAACACAAATTGCCTTTCCATTTATCTCTTCTATTATGATATCACCTAAATTACTGTCCATCAAACTTCTACTTCTACTTCTAACCCACCTAAATACCCTTCCACTTAACCTTTCTATTTCTGAGCCGCCCAAACTGCAGTTTAGCTAACGCTTCCATTGCCCTTTTTTATCCACTTAAATAACTATTCCACTTGGCTCCCCCTTTTCTGTTCCACATAATGTCTCCATTACCACTTTACCGACCTCTCCCTTTTCTAATCCACTTAAATACCTATTCCACTTAGGATCTTTTTTCAGTTGCCGCTACGCCTCTTCTCTTTCCACTCCACCTAAATGGATATTCCACTTAGCTCTACCACATTCGTTCATTTCTGTTCCACTTTTCCCCCCTTAGTCATTATCCACACTATTTCCATCTCTGTTTTTCTGTTATGGAAATTCAAACAGGTATGATCTTTAGGCTCATTTTTCCCACGCGTTCACGGTCAGCATTTTATTCCAATTAACTGTGCTCATTCCCATCCCGTTTCGGTCACAGTATTTCGCAACTGATTTTTATTTTCAGAGTTAATAGATTTCAGATTTATGTATTTATTGCAAGATATTCCAAAATGCTGGTAGAAATTATTAATAGAGTTATGAATAAATACCGTTATATATTCTATAGCAACTGAATAACATGAAAAAAGATTATGAATTTTATATTTCACTCCATATTTCATCAAAGCTTGAAATTGGCTAGCAAAAACCTATCAACGAAAGATAACGTATTTTGTATGTTTCCGTTTTCATGCAGAATGATTATGGCGAAAATTGTGCAGGAAAAGAGACGGGCAATATGTTATATTCAGTAATATGTTTGTAACAAAAAAAAAAAAAAGTCTGTTTGTTTATGTTTTTCTTTGCCGCTCTTCTTAACCTCTCCCTTTCTCTCTTCTTTTCGTTTTCTATCACACTCTCCCCTTTCCTCTCTTTCCATCTCTCCTTTCATCTTCATCGCGCACACACACACGCACACACACACACAACACACACGCACACACCACACACACACACACACACACA